GCCTGCTTTGATGGATATCAATTTATTCAATAATTTTCAAAAACTAAACTTGTTATGAATTAGTTATTTAAAAAACAATTTTAATTTCTTTTTTTTCTTTAAAATTATTGAGAAATTCAAAGGAAGATACTTATTTAAAGACTAAATTATTTTTTTAAACAAATATATGCTGTTATATATATATATATTTTTATCAAATAAAGATAACCAAATTTGAGAATTTAATATAACACATAATATTTTAAAACCAGTACATATCTCAATTCTCTCTAAACCCACAAAATGTTTAGATTTTATTTCATTATCTGGATTCAATTTTTTTGAAAAAACCAAACCAAAAAATAAATTTATGGGTAACCTATACCTAAAAAAATGTTCTTGCTTCGCTCAAAGTATCTTAACGCATATGCTTATTACGTATACCTATATGTATCAAAGTAAATATATTTTAACTAGCACACTTTTGAAATTTAATTTTGGTAATTTATTTTTGTAGTTTTTAAATTTATTTACTTTATCTAACAAATGTTTATATAACTGTGAATTTTATATTAAATAAAACTAAAATTGCGATTTTAGTGATTAGTAGGATGTAAACCGGTAGATTTGGTTTGAATGTGAGTAGTATTCCGACAGTATAAAATTCAGTGGAATATTCACTATTGACACACACATTTTAAACTTCTATAGTATTGATGTCAATATTTAATATTTACACTTAACAGTATACACGCTCGGTAGTTTCCTAATTTCAAACTTCATACGGGGTCATACGAGGCTATTTTTGGACAGTTTAATAGTGTACATAATAAAATAACAATTATATATTATTATTATTATTATTATGATTATTTTCTATTTTATACTATGATATTAACTATAACTGATAATAAACTAGAAGCTTGTGCATACCCATAATGCATTGATTTTCAGTTGGCGTATAGTATACACCGTATACCCACAATAGATGAATTTTCTTTAAGGTATACGCATAAATCCAAAAATAGGGATCCGGATATACGTCATATACTTGTGTATACCCGTATACCCCTCCCCCCTCCAATACACCACTGAGTAAATCACTCTGTGTGCAGTAATATTATTTATTAATTTAAGACCAACCTATTCTTATGAAAATAATGTATTGATATGATACTCTACTTTTAGGCATAGACATAAGTAAATAATACAGTATTCAAAAAAATATTTATACTTACGCTTACGAGTTACGTGCAACTTAATAGCCTAATACATATTTTGTCTTAAATGTGTTGTTACTATTACTAAACAAAATTTCTACTCTTTCAATAATAATTATTCTATTTATAAGATTTTTAATTGTACGTATTTCATATGTTTACTCAAATGGACTTTTAATATTAGTTTTTAGTTTATTACTTACTAATTATTATTTACTGTTAATTTGTAGCAGTATATAATTCGCCAAATATTTGTTTAATATAAAGGAATTAATTACATATATTGTATATATATATATATATATATATATATTTAACTCTTAATTAACTTTTTCGTTGATTTAAACTATAATTTATTTTAATATGTATATTAATTTGTAAAGATAACAAACTCTAATTTTTAATTAATATATTTAATAATATGTATTCTTGATAAACTCAGGAATAATACAATAATGATAAATAGTATTTATAATGTCACAAACAGGGTTCATACGGCTATTTAGGTTACCATATTTTATTGACAATAATAAGTTTCTGTTTTAATTATTTCAGGGTTAGGATAAGAAAATTACAACTAATTTTATTCTTGATAGTCATACCAGTGTCGATATACAAGTTACAATTATATTATAGGCATAATATTTATTATTTAATTGTAATTGTAAATTTTAATAATATTACCACTAATCTAATTTAATAGTGATATAGTGAAATAGATAAATGTAAGGAAATGTCTAATATTTTTTTGTGAATCACCATAAAAAAATAAAATAAAATAATAAATAATAATATTATTTTTAAAATTGATACCATTAAAGTTTTCATTTCTAATAAATAAATATTATGCTTGTTTAATTATAGCACATACTTTTTTGTTAAGTTTGTTTTATGTAAAATTCTAATTTTAGTAATTCTTATTAATTCGTTATTCATTGAAATAAAAGCATCAATTAAAAAAGTCGTTTACTACTATTTTTTTTTCTTACTTTAGTATAAATATCAGATGATTTACAATAAAAATTTATTTTATAATTTGATAAGTTTTTTGTGTTTATAATGCAATATTTTAATATTTTAATATTACAGACGTAATAAAAATACCTATGTATCTAAACGAAATCTCTCGCTGTTATATGTAAATAAAAAAAATAAGAGCAAGTCAAGTCAGTACAATACAGTACAATGACCAATACCAATACTATTATGTAATAATAAATATCTAATATTTATCAATTTTAAAATGTACATAAAATATAGGTTTAAATTATTTTTTCTTTTGCTTTATTTATTTCGAGCTTTGACCGTTTTTTACAATCGACTGTTTCCATTAACCACCGTTGTTCTGTGCTTACAATGTTGTTCGATCATTTTCCATTCGAGACCATTAAATTAATTGAATATTTGCTTGCATTAAGCTCACGTAGATGTAAATCACGCGTTTAAGCGTATCGTAACATATACTATGTAACAGGAAATGCAGACGTAAGCAGTGGTTACTGCCACAGCAGATGAAAACAAATGATTCAATAAATAATAATAATAATAATAATAATATAATGTATTATGTGCCTTCCTTGTTGAATCAAGTAAACAGTTGTGGTGAGCAGATAATCTCACCGTGAACAATACAAGGGCCAAGCATTTATTGAAACGCGATCACATTTTACACGCTCGTGTGCTCGATTTTTCTGACGAAATATCTGTTCCTTACTTGGTCAAAAATGATGTTGATTCTCGCATTACGTTATAATACACATATATTGTTATTCATAATATATCGGGTGGTTTGTGAGAAATTCCATTTTTTCTATTGTTTATAGTTAAGTGAATTACTTCATTTTATACATTGTATTGTATCTGAAGATACAATGTACTTGACAATATTTAACAATCAATGTCTTCCTTATAGATCATGTGGTCCATATTAATAAATTAGAAAAATTTATCGCTAAAATAAAATAAAATTGAATGAGAACGTAAATATGTTTGACTAGTTATTAAAATAACTACTTAACTGATCTGTCGAGTAGTTGTATACTATGTTATCGTTTTAACCATACGATTTACACAGAACACCGTTATATTGGAAAATATACAAAAATCGAATTATTTTAATAATATAATAATATTATTGTAATGGTAAAAAGTAGAATAGAGCTAAAAAAACCTTAAGATAGAATTTAAATGTATTAAAGTAAATATTACTTGGAAGATTTTTATAAACTATAAAATGTTCATAGACTATTATATAACTGATGACTTTCAATTTAAAATTTAAAAAAATATATTTAAAAATTCTTCAAACTATACTTTATGCTTAGGATTAAGGAGGAAGAGAGCTAAGAATTCTCAAAGAAACATCTTGTATATATTATTATAATATAACTTATAATCGACATTTTTTCAATTATCCACAACAAGACCTATAGATACGTAACAATAATAATTGTTTACCAAAATATATAACGTATGAGCAAAAACTTTACCATTGTTGATTATTTTGTATTTTAAACTTAATTGAGTTTTGTGTATATCAGTGACACAACCACAGGTACGCATATATAAACATAGATGAATCTTAATGGTAGCCAATCGATGAACTTATCATTGCGGTGAACTACGCGTGACTCACGAAATATATAAATATATTTATATATATATATTATATCCACATGTCGACCTAATCTTACCGGAAACTTCCGCGCGGGATCCGACGGGCTTAAGATGTGCCTACACTTTACTACTCGTGCCAGTGCATTAACTCGTCGACTTCTCTTCATCGCCAACGCGTGTAAAGTATATATATATATATAATATACATATGTATATCTATCAGACTCGACTCTCCATTGAAACGTGCCATTTACGAATGCTAAACCAGTCGGTGCTACAGAAGTTTGTTTTGCTTAATGTTTACCGACCGGAAGTCCGGGCTTATGTTTCGCAATACCAAATCCCCGCCCCCGTCATTTAGTTGCAGTTCTCGCGGGCAAAGAGATGGCTGTGGAGGGTATCAGAAACTGGCGTGTCTATTATGAACGCACCGAACTTTTGCTCCAGCGCTGACACTCCATTATGACCAAAACTTTACCACCGCCTATAATGCGTAGAGTACTACTTTCATGCGCGTTCATATAATATTCATATATATATATATATGTTAACATAAATGTAACCCGAATATTTATTTCTTTCATTCAAATGATATGAGTAACTAAAAAACATTACTGGTAAAATGTTTATTCATAGGATAGGGATGTTCGATTAGATTAATAGTCCTCCTTAACAATTATCTCGAAAAAAAAAATTTAAATCTATCAACAATATTTGTTAAGTTGTGTGATATTGATTTTGTATATGTATCAAAATGAATATAATATTATGAATATGAATAACTATTTACTTTTATATAAGTATATTTTTTGACATTTAAAAAATAATTTTGTAAATTATTATTTATTTTAAATACTATTATTGTATTATTGGCACGATCAAAATTATGTGTGTATATTTTCGACTAACTGAGAAATATTTTGGTAAATCTTCGAGATGAATATACTTAAAGGTTCAAACAATAAAAATTTATAATATTGTAAATTCATACATTTATCAATTATCGTAACAAATTAATAAATAATAAAAATATTTGAATTATGTATTTAGTGTATTTATAATATGACATACACGTACAATTAAAGAATTTTATGATATTCCTCCCCCACTAAATATTTATAAAAACATATTTACTATTTAGCTATTGTGTATATTTAATTAATCATGTTGGTTTTATTTTTTTAGAGAGTGTTGTGAGTTATGTAGCACCCAGAGCCGACACCGAATTTGAAGACCTCAGCTATGATGGAGACCTAGCACGATCACTCATGACGGGTGGTCTGGGAATGCTAACCGACAGCTTGTATGGAGCAGATGATTTCTTACAATTCGATTTGCAGTTTCATAAACCTCTCAGTGAGTATTATTAATATTTACGATAAAAAATACACGTATTTCATTAAATTAAAAATAAATTATATTATATACCTATAAGTTTATTTACTATGGATTTAAACGATTGTGTCATCAATATATTTTGGCATACCAAAGTAAAATAATTTTTTCTCCCAAATGTATTAGCTTTGCACAAATCCAAGTTTTCGAAAAAAAAAAAATTATCGTTTATACAAGCACATGACATAACAATTTACAAACAATTTTTGATCTGTACAATTTATCAATAACCCGATTTTGGTAAATGTCTATTTATTTTATTAAATAAACCAAGCACATGATTTTTGCGTTAATGTAATTAGTGCAAAGATGTAAATTTATGAATTATCCAAGTTACTTTATTTTACAGTGTTTACATTCTTTATATTTTGTCGTATTAAATTTTAAGAAGATAATGTTTTTGCGTCATAATTATGATAATAATAATACAAAAAATTGTCATAATAGTTTATGGTCTCTGAGTAAGTAAGTAATTGGTAAGCAGCTTTGGATGTTCTTTTCGAATATTTATCAAAAGAATAAAAATAAAGTTTTCTAAAACTTATGATTTTAATTTAAAAGTACGGTTTTGTACAATATTTCTGCACACTGATTTAATTCTAACTGACAGCGTGTTAGAAAATAATGCATTAGATATTACATTAATTTAATACTTTACTCGTGATTGATCTACACTATAAATTTATATTTTTAATATTAATTTTATAATATGTTTTTAATACATTTTTAAACGTAATAGAAAATTATCATAGAGAATTTTTATAAACCATGGCAAAAAAAAAAATAAAACCGATATATATATATAATTATTGTACCTATATCAATCACGTATATAAGCCACCGAAGAGTGGACACAACATTATACTCGTAAAACATTGTTACGTGCCATTATATATTAATAATGATTAAATATTCGTACGGTGGTCTTAACAGATATTTATTTATTATACGTATATTGTATTCATACCGTCATTTCACCACTACAGTCACTACACTCGAACCCATTGGCGTTATACTGTAAATAGTAATAATAATAATAATAATAATAATAACGGCACGAACAACACACTGTAACTGTGGCGATGTACATTATATAGAACTCGTTTAGAAGAGTTATACACCAAATTAGAAATTCACATACGCCATCGCTTCCGAAACAGTATTCGGCGGAATTGCCGAGAAACGCGTTGTATGGTTAAATCTTATTAACTCGAAACGCGGCAGAGACGAACGTCGCAAATTATTTCGACGGTTTTCATTCACAAGTTGTATATCTATACATATTTTAAACATACAGTCTAAGGCAAAAAGCGGTGCCCGCCACTGGCGCCCGACTCACGGTATAAATCAACGTGCAGATTACAGTAACCACACAGAGCCTAAAACGTCAGCGATGAAGACCGCGTTATTATTTCCGAATGCCGCCGTCTCCACCGTTGTTTTGTGTTCACCTAAATATTATTATTATTATTATTATTATTACCGTAAAAAAGTATTCCAAGAAGTCTTCCAACATCGAACATGTATGTTTTGTGTTTATGTATAAAAAGTCGTGATCTTTTGGCTTTTAGAGTAATTCATTTAGAGCCAGTGAAATTTAAGATAATTGGTCAGACGCCGTCTAAGGAAAAAAAGAAAAAAAACGTTTCTTTTTACACTGTTGTTATTAAAATAATATACTATAAAAACATCATATCGCGTTAACGCCTTTGTAAATACTGAACCCAAATGCCGCACAAAAGATTATAGTATGATATATGTATTGTCGTAATCGGAAAGACCTAATATTATAAAATAAATTATCCGGGAAAAGATCTGTACTCCTTATAGATAAGATGCAAGGGGCTTAAGTCAATAAAAAAATACGTATAGTTTACAACTTTACTGTTATTTATATATTTTTATTAGTACCTTACTGTATTATATAAGGATAGTTTTCTTTAAATATTTTATTTTTTTTTTAAGTTTCCTTGGATACACTGCACATTACATGTTATTTTAATAATTTAAACGGAGTCAAAACATTTTGAGTATCAGAGTGTGTATATTGTATAATAGAAAATTCTATAAAAATTCTATAGTATGTACACTGTATAATATAGAATTAATATATGATAAGTTATAGTATGTAACGTGCATTAGCAAAAGGAATATAATACATTTTTATAACGCATTTGAACTTATAACTTACCAAAATATTGTCAGAAATATGAGTTTAAGTTAAAAATTTAAATGGTAAAAATACTAAATATTATCCTATACAATTTAAAAATAATGAAAAAAAAAATAAACAAACTACTGAAACAAAATTAATAATGTCTAATATTAATCTTAAATTCTTAAAAATATCTGGTTAAAATAATACAAACAGCGAGTATGTATAAATTAATAAATATTTTTACATTTTTATAATTTATTATTGTATTTAAAATTTTTGATTTTTTAAATACTCGTGAAAAACAAAGTGATTAAATAAGTTTAGAATCTGTTATTTTAAATGCTTAGGAAACAGTATTTTAGAGAATTTCTTAAAAAAATATATATTATAATTTATAAAATTATACAGGTGAAAGATCCTTCAAAGGTAAAAACCATTCATTCACTAAAATACTAAAAGCGTCAATATTTTTGTAAAAAAGTAATTCTAAATAATCTAATTTTAAGTATAACATTGTTTAATTGCAAAAAAAAATCAGCAATGGGCTTAGATGAAAAAAAAAGCTCGAAACCTTGTAAAATGCTTCAGAAAATCGCTTTAAAGATTCTATTTGTTAAAAGAATAGTCAGCGTAAAGTTATTAGACAAGAATACAAGGTAAAATAAAATCTTCAATAATTTTATTATAACAACGCATATGAAAAATACCAAGGTTAGAATATATGATTTAAATCATAACATGAATAAAGAAAAGCACAAAGACTTAAAGGAACTAATTCAATTGAAGCATTAAAATTTGCAACAAAAAAATTTAATGATTGACAACAAAAATAAAAAAAACCTTTCTTTAACTTGACCAACGAGAGTTCACATATTATTAAACGTTGATATTGAATCAAATTAGGAATTATGCGGGTGTGAGAGTGAAAATATAATTGGTAGAATTAATCAGAAAACGCATTTAAAATGTTTAAATGTAGGTATACTAAAATCTATTCTCCTGACAACATTTAATAAAAGACAAAGTAATTATTTTAATTGTGATATTATATTATATTAGATTATAATTCGACCATAAATATCATAAAATTGAATCATTTTAACTTATAATAATACTTCGTAATTTATTTTTATTTATCTGTTTGATTTTTTTGTCATCAAAACTATTTTTTAAACACTCTTGAAATGTTCGTAATACTCGCAGTGCGATTTATAATGAAACTAAATTCACGTTTAAAACGTATCTCACCGTTCGCATTTTGCTTTTAAATAATAAAACCAAAAAAAAATAAAAAATAAAAAAAAAATAATAATAATTAAAAAAAAAAAACTATGCGTGTAAATAAAACAGATATTTTGGACCGTAAAAAAATTTTTTCGATCTTTTCATTTTATAAATATAAAATATTCGAGTTCCAATTATACGTATACTATTATAATATGCACCATTTTATTATTATTATCATTATTATATCGCTCGTGATAAATGATGTACATCCGTTTGACTATTCAATTTGTATACTACCTTTGTGCGGTAAGTGTTCGTTATTTTAGTTACGGACATTGACAAAAAAAAAAAAACGTATATATTATTATATTTTTTTCTTCTTTTACTCCTTCACCATATTTTTTACGGTTCTTTAAATACCTTTAAACATCGTTCTACAAAACGTTCTGGATTATTATAATAATAACATGTGTGTAATTCTATTGATATTTTGCTACAGTTGAATGTGCTTATTGTTGTAGGTAAAAGATGGGTCGGCTGGTCGAACGATTCCATTGGTAATAAGTTGGATTTGGTTTTTGAGTTCAACGGTTTCCGAATGTTCAAAGAAGTAAAAATACACAGCAGCCATATACCAACCAGAGACGTAAAAGTGAGTACCCTGCACGTTTCACAATATCTACTGTAATAATATATATTTCTGTATTCGTATAATATATATAGTTTCTTTACCACGGTCCACGGGATTTACGAGCTATAAACTTTTATCGAATCTTGGTCATTAATTGTGTAATAATAGATTACAACGTATAGGTACTTGAACTTAAGATAAGCCTAACAATACATATTTTTTTTATTTTTTTTTAAATGATTAAACCGTGATTTTCAATTTTTACTGCAAACGCTGGAAACTTGCATTACCGTGTCCGCAGGATTTAAAATTGTTATTTCATCATCATATTTTATAATTATTATAGTGGTACTATGATGATATAATAATAATAATATTTTTGAATATATTCGTGATCGAATACCGTAGTTAATTAACTTACTCGTAATAGTCTTCATAGCAAAGTATTGAAAAACAAAAATCAAAGCCACGGCAAACGCGAATCCCAATCATCAAATCATTACCGCAACGTGTTAGCGATTTTCGTATAAAACTCCCGAATAAAGATGATCGACCGAAGTTCGATTTAAACTTCGTGCGATCATCGTGCGTTGTCAGTATTCGATAAGTTTCACGGTTTTATTAATTTCATTTTCTCTCTCCCTATTGTACGAGTCGCGCTAAAACGGTTCGTTCGTCGACGACAAAATCCTTCTAACCGACGATTTCTCCCTTCGAATACTAGTCGTCTGCAATTCGACGTGAGCCAGTCTCTCCCACATTATGATTATTATGATTATTATTGTAATTTATAAGTTATAACGTTTCGTACAAAACAATATACTATAATACTGTACGCTATTATACGTTATTACGCGTGCATTGTTTCCTCGACGACAGCCTCCCTGTTTGTATGTCACTATTATACGCGCACTGCAGAAACGGAGCTGTCGCCGCAAGTGGTTGCGCACCAGTCCCTTTCTCCCATGGTTCCACCCCCCCCCCCCCCCCCCCCGCCGGGCCCCCCCCCCCCCCCCCCCCCCCCCCCGATTGTAGGATACCGCGAAAGCTCTCAATAGTAACGAACAGCCATTGTGTGCTACCGGACACATTAAATAAAATGGATGTACAGAGTGATTCGCTGAACTCGTGCGAGTGGGAATTACCCTCCTTCGAATTTCGAACTGGCAACGTCTAACTCGCGATTGTCTATCCACCCTGTACATGAGTGTGTGATACATCCACTGCTGTAGGATAAGTGTTCTTGGTGTTAATACAGTTCTATATCGGTTTATTTTCTTTTTATCACGTTCGTTTGCGTTAAGCCTTTAAACGCAGCACACTTATGTCGCATTCGGCGTGGGCGTGATCTGAGAGCGCTTGTTCTCGCTCCCCGTTTCATATGTTTGGTAGACTACTAAAGCACCATGAATAGTGGTAATTTTTATTTTATTACGATCGACATCGATTCTCTAGATGATATTGTGTTTGCGTGTTTTTGAAAACTTTTTTCGACATCACTGCGGGATATTTTTTGAAAAATAAAAATAAAGATATTTTTAACTGTTGTCGGTTATTTTAATCTTATTGCGTGCTTTTTTTTTTATAAAAATATATGTTTTTGAATTAATATATCTTAGTAGACAATTTTTTTAGAAATTTTAAAATCAAATCAATGTTTAATATTACTTACGTATTCATAAAAGTATATTTTACAATTTAAATGTAGATACCTATACGCGTATTTATTTGTGGTCTGTGGAGTGAATTAATTATTGTAAACAAAGCTAATATTTACTTTAACGTACTTAATACTAACACCCATGTAGTCAATTTATAACAAATAATTAATAACAATAATAATAATAGTAGTAGTAGTTATGATATTTTCAGTATTCTAGGACATTTCAAGTACTTAATTAATTTCATGTAATAGACGATTCAAGTAAAACTTTTATTTTACACTTTTTGAGCATTCCCGGATATATTATTAACATTATTTTATTGATTTTTAGTTTGTATATTATTTTGTTTATACATCGATTACGTTTTAAGTGTAAATTATAAAATTAGAAATATTTTATCAAGAAATATTGGTTTCATAAAAATTGCTTAAAATAGTTTTTAGACATTTTTAATACATGGCTATTGGCTAAGTTTAGTGTTTTGTTTTGTGTTATTGTTAGATTAGATGAGATAAGGGAGTGCAAATAATTTCGAAAGTTAAACTGTCATTCTTCTATCATTTATGTTCGTGCTTATAAAAATAAAGTTGCTCATTTTAAAAGTCGTTAATCGTTGAGATGCTAAACATTTTGATATGCTGATTTTCGAAAGCCTTAAAAGTTATAATTGGCTCTTCAATAAATAAATAGTGAACACAATGGATTTTAGAGTGGTTTTATATCTCAATATAGTCTTGTTTATGTTTTTCACTATAGTAAAGTACTAAATAATCCTTATTGTTTTAATTTAATACATTTGAATGTCCTGCCAAATATTGCAAATATCATAGATTGACTTTATTGCAAGTATTTGATTCTATCAAATCTAACCTAAATATTATTATTATTTATTACGTAAATGTTCCTTGTCTTAAAAACAAAATTTCTACATAGTATATTATAGTACATTTGTTTTATGATTTATAAGTTATGTACTCGCTACAGTCCCAAAGTTTGTCGTGTTTGTTAACTTATATATATACCTCTTCTAAAATTTCTTGGAAATGCCTACAGGCTACAAATGTTCATTTTGAAATATACTATAATAATATACATTTAACCTTTTTAGAAGTCATATCTGAATAAAATGTATTATATGATGACAAAGTATTTTATAGTGACTTTTATCATTTCTATAAGGGATTGGTCAATATTACATTTTCACGAACTCGAACTTAAATTTTTTTTTTAAACTTGAATCTAATTCAAACTTTTTTTGTATTTTTGAAGTTTGTTGAACTTTTAAAAATGTTACCTTCACAAATTTTTAAATATAGTTGTAGTAAAATAAACTTTTAAGGTTAAAAGTTTATCTTTTTAATTTTTAAATCATATTAAAAAAAAAAAAAAAAAAACAAACTAAAAACGTATCTCAAAATGTATAATAACAAATCACGTAACCAGACATTATAATTTGATATCAAGATTTTCAAAAATAAATAGTGTGTGCAACTGCTAAAAAATATAAAATTAATCTGCTATCATATTTGAATATTTTGAATTTGATTATGCTCTAACTGCTTGAACTAATCAAGACATTTGAGTTCGATATATTTTCTCAATATTCCATCGTTGTATTTTTATATTAAATAAAAATAGATTTCATGATACAAATGTTATTCACCATCGATTAATCGGTACCATTGTAAATATTAGGATTTTTAATTTTTAAAATGATATCCTTAATAATTCAATCTGTCATTGTATTATTATTGTTTGAGAAGGTTTTTTTTGTTATGTACCTACATTTATATTACATTTAATATATTCTGCTTATACTTTTTATAACTCAGTATTTATTACATTCACCACGAGAGTTGTAAATTTGAATTTAGTACAAGATCACCGGCGGTGTTTGCAGATAACCTTCTATTTGAATATTATATTTATTGGCAATATAAAAGAAAAAGACAATAATGGATCTAAACCGTTATTCCAAATCCAACATTTCTTATAATATATTATGTCTCTGTTGAACTCTGCTGTACTTCATTCAATTTTGAAAATGGAACACCTCAGTGTTCTTACATATTTTATTTTTAACACGTTATAGTATCTATATTATATGCATTCGGGAACACGGTTAATATTTTAGTTTTTCCTTCGACTGTATAAACTAAATTATTTATTTACATTTATAAGCAATAATACCTGACTGAGTAAATATTAACTACCAGCGTTTAGTCTCAGATCAAATTACACATTAATGAATAATGTATAGACTTGGTGGAAATTGATATTATTACATTGGCGTTGAGTTTTGTTATTTGTAAATCAATCAATCACTCCCTATTTGATGTTTTTGTAATCTAAGTATAATGTATATAATATTATTTGAATTAATTGAAAACTAAATATTCAGAGACAAAAACCGTAACCTTAAATAAACTATATACCGAAACAAATAACAAATAATATATATATATATATATATATATTATAATTTACCATAAAAATATACTTCAATCATATCAATGTTATTTAAAAATGTTTTATTGCTTTTTTTTTTGTATTAGGTAACACAAATGGTATTTACTTCAGAAAAGTGGTTCTTTTACATTAATATACGTATTAGTTATATTTATTGTATATTTAAAGTTAAGTTTTTGTAAAACGTTTTATTTTAATATAAATTATTACATAATTTTAAGATGATATAATATATATTAATATTTTTATTTTGAGGCTTAATAAAACGATTACGGATATATAGTTATATAATTTTCTAATCATACTAATTTTTTCATGTAAAATATACAAAAGGAAATTCTTGTATTTTAATTTGATAAACAAAAATTATAGAATCCATTGAGAAAATAAAAAATTCAATTGCAAAAAAAAAAATTCAAATATTTCAAATTTCTTAATTTATCTGAAAACATGATAAAACAAAAATGTTTATCTTATTCAGTATACAATATAATATTATAGAGATAAATGTTTAATTTTATGAAAGCATCAAACATTATAGGGTGCATGTGTACATAAATAATAATATGCAAACAATATTCAATGTGTATCTATGTGATTTATGGAATTGTTTTTTTTCTCAACACGACATATATTTTTCTGCCCTTTCAGGTGTTTAGTATGGCGTTGATTTACGTCAGCTTGGACGGGGACAAATGGCAAGAATGGCCGATAAAGTTTAGTACAAAGTCGGAGGCCATTAAGGACACCGCTGTAAACATAACCATCAATCTGAAGAGCAGGGTGGGCCGGTATATCAAGATATGTCTCTATTTTTCTGCTCGATGGATACTCATCAGCGAGGTCTCGTTTGAGTCCGGTAAGTAATTTTTGGACACACTCGGGTAATATATCGTAATAATTCTTTTTATATTACACCAAGTTCTGGATAGCAGTTCTGAAAAAAGTTAAAAGGATATCGCAAAAGCCATAAAAAAATAAATATTTTAAATATAATTTTAAAATTTTAAGGTCTTCAATTCAGTACATTTTTTTAATTATACAAAATAAAAATGTATAAGCATTATTGTTCTTCAAATATATATGGTTTAAGATATTTTACAATTAAATGTTCTTAGGTTTATGTCATATTATTATAATGGCCTATTCACTTTAAACCAAGATGACATAAATAGTCGTATGTTGTAAATCTAGCTAATCAATAAACCAACCTGCACTCTATTCTCATTCGAAAGCATATTACTTCAGTCCACTTGTCATTTTAACCACCGACCACATAAATCACTAGCGTTTGTAAACTTGGTACGGTTACTGAATAGACAAAAACTATAATTCACCATAACTTAGCATAGTTTATGTTCCTACAAACTTATTTACGTTTATCAACTAGACGCGTTATATCTGCACAAGTATCTGCGACAAGTCAACGTATTATAATTATAATTTATTAGCCATATAACTCTAAATTGTCACTAAATAAACAAGATAAATGTTTTAACAAAGTGATTTTCTTATTGAGAAATCCCAATTTTATTTTTTATCATGATATCATACGCACCTTGTACCATAGCACGTACGGAAGACAATTTTAGATTTTCGATATATTTACAAACTTATAAATACTGGAAACAGAATATTCGTTTCAATTTTAATATCAAACTTTCTTGGTTTAAGTGAAAAAAAAAATTGTCAGCACGCTATTACAGATTGACTAACCTTTATAATCCTATTCTATTTGGGTTTTGGTTTCAATCCCCTTTAAACCCAAATAGTTATGTTTCATCAATATCGAAAATGTTTATATGGTGTATATATTGTGTATAGTGTATACTTATAGAAATAAATTAAAGTTTATTCAATCGTTTGATTTGAACTAGTTTTATTAAATGTACATAATCATTACTTTGAGATGTTCTACTTATTTGTAGATAGTATGTCTGCTGTTTAATAATAGTCTGGAAATGGACATAATTCCAACAAAAATTCTCTAACAATTTATAATAACAGAAAACAATCATCAATATGTTTACGTGCACGACCAATCCCATTTTATTCTCGAATTCACACTAAAGCAGTCAGCTTGGTACGTGACTGCCCACGATTGTATTTGTTTTCCATTTCATTAAAAAACGATTCGTGTAAAATCAAACTCTCGACCTTTCACGTTTACGAGTTGACAAAAATACGTTTATAACAAATTCTGTACGACAAAAAAACGCCGTCCTTTTTAAACTGTCTGTTTTGACCATAGATACACTTAAAAGTTCGGTCTACGCTCAAGTCGCACATCCCAACCGTGGAAACAAAAATTGTTTTCCAGCATGCGACATGTACAGGAAAAAGTAACTGGAAGGGGGAAAAACGCAGTACGGTCTATTATAATATATATTCACCACCCTCCGTGCGCATATATGTAGAAACGTCGTCGCATATATTGGTACGATTTAAATTTCCGGTCGGTCGCAATCGGTAAACGTTGAAAGATATTATTATACGCGATACAGCATACGAGGGAGCTTCTTTCGGTGCACGTCACACATCAATGATGACATGGGGATAACAATCCGCATTTTTCTCTCGCAATAACATCGAGCTCGAGTTACATTTTACTATTATTTCCGTACGAGACATTTTGTCGGAATATACCACAACCGTGTATATACTCCCTTGATAAAAATAAATAAATCGAAAACGTTTTTACCATATATTATAATATTTGTACGTTGACATGAATGTGTGTGTGTGTGTGTAGAATATAAGTATATTATTATCTATTATAAGAAAACACTGCCGTTTGCTTTATACCGACACCCGCCCACCATCCACATCAAAAATATGAATGAATCTAGCAAAAAATATTGTGAAATTGCAAATTTCAAACGAAACCCGTCGAATTTTATACCAATTTCAACATAATATGACTATTAGTATCGTTGGCTGAAAATTTTGGACTTGATTGAAATTAAATTTAACATCCAAATGCATTATGCACTCGAAAAATAAATAATAAGCAGACACGCACAAACACCGTATCCGTATAGCTGCTTTGAAATAAATTACTTCTTAAAACAAAAACATCATATAAAAGGTGTACAGTTGGATTCATGTGCAATATTTTTACTACATTGAAACATTATTCAAAATGAACTTTTATAATACAAGAATGCGTTAAGACACAAAATCCCATCAAATCCTTCAGTGAATAGAAATTCCTCGTGGCCACCGTAGTGTGGTTTTATGTACCTCTAAAGAAATCCAATTTCAAAGGATTTCCTTGAATCAATGCACATTGAACAACGAACGAGTGAAATGATAAGGCTGTCTCGGTCGTTGCAAATTGCGGTTTATGTACTACGAAAAAAAAAAAATACCTAATCAAAATACCGAAATTGTAATCATCCCACCGATTTTATTACATATTATACTATTTTAGTTTTTTGTCTGATTAAAATCATTTTCACTTAGCATGCAAGTGACACTAATCGGTATTAGCGAGTCTCTATTCTTTTCATTATAATGACAATAATGTATCGTTGTGGTCGACCTGTCACTACCAGTTTTAATATGTACTCACGTATAATGCCAATCATAAATTTATGAGATTAATCGACTATGGTTAACCACAAAACTTAGTTATTGGATCCATCGTTTTATATGCTTATACTTGGTATACAAACATAATATCTTCCTGTTAGTACATCCACAGCAGGTTTTGAAAGGTCACAACGTGTTGCATTTACTTTGCATAATTTGTTTAAATTAGAATTTCCACTCATTTCATGTTTCCTACAAACAATGTCCTATTTTCTTCATACAAGTTCTAAGACATACTGTTTTTATTCTATTCAGACTATTTTTCTTGTACTAGACATTTAATTTATCGAATTAAAAATCCTTTCATAAATAATTTAAAGCTAAGAACATAGTTGAACATAGTTATCGATAATTTTCATGATAGTATAATGTATGTATTACGTAATTATCAAGTTTTTTTAAATTTATTTAAAGGCACATTTAATCTATTCCCTAAGAAAAAAATGCGATAACAGAACTTATTTTTTAATATGAGTAGCACGATAGAAATAGTCACCCAGTGGTAATAATACCCTAACTTTTTATTATTTTGTTTTCTTATTTAAATTTTTAAACACTAAACCTCAAATATGTCACAACACCAATATTCCTTTTAAGATTTTTTGGGAATCTCCCAAGAACTGTGAGAGTGGTAAGTTTGATATGAGGGGGGTTTATATGAGATGGAAATTTGAAGTGGAATATTTTATAAAACGTTGCTGTTTCTTCGTGGACGGTTTTGATTTTTAGATGGGTATGTAATGTTAAATTTGTCACATAAAATTAAGAATTGGTGATTTTAAGAAGATTATTTTGGAAGATTTGAATTTATCAGTATTTTTATTTTTTAGCATTGCTAAAGCTGGAGACCATAAATCAACATTGGTTTGAATATGTATTTATATATTAGAAGTTTTGTATTTAATTTAGTGTACTTGTTGTCGATCATTTGATTTTTAAGTAAGCTGATATGTGCATTAAGCCCTTTTAGTTCTGATGTGATGTGACCAAACGAGCCGGTGATCAATAATTAGACCTAAGTTGATTGATATGTATAAATTTGAATATTATTTAGAAATATTGCAGGGCTAAAAGGAATGCGAAAAGTGAATGTATTATGTATTGATTTAATTGGTTGATTTTGAAACGCTAATTTTTATATCAAGCAGCTATGACATCGAAATGATTTTGGAGATTAAGGAAAGCAGTATGACATTTTTTATGAATGGTAGCATATTTATTATATAATATAAGAGAGACAAAACACCCCCATATTGAACACCTGCACTGCTCTTGGCTATACCCAAGTATGACGAACAAACTTTTATCTGAAAGTAACGGAGAGGGGAGATTTGATCAGAAATTATCAAGTAAGAATATTTTGGAGAGCTTAAAAAATACAATTTAGAATATATTAAATATATTAAATATATTTAATAAATATTTTAAAAATATAGTGATAAATACCAATACTATTTTATATTATATTATATTACTACTCCCGTACGCTAACCTTAAGACTTAAGATCAAATGTCCTCATAAAAAAATAGTTTAATATAGATATTACGTTACTCAACGTTAATTAATTTACTAATTGGTCCGGGCATTACGAGTTACACAAAATTAAATATTTTTGTATTTTTGGATAATATATACGAGTAAAATAATATTATAGTTATAAGATTTAATTTAATATTTTGTTATTTTAATTTGTGTATATCAAGTATAATGAAGTTGTATTTAAGATTCAGTTGTTAAACATTACTATTTTAACCTTTTATAAATTATTCTAATACTGCTGTAACAAATTGTTATGATTTTGCCTTAGTTTAGTACACCAAAACTATTTCAGAAAAAGTAATGGTTTCACATGAACACTATAAATTATTTAACACACAGAGAAGTAGTATGAAATTCAAGTATATAGAGCGAGCAATGAATTAATAACTACTGCCATTACTTTAATATTTTTATGGTTGATATTTGATGGGAACAAATGTATAATATAAATTATATTAGTTTTTCGTATGGTGGTAAATCAATCGTTTATTATCTTTGTATACCGGTAAAACATCAAATTTATTCTCGATGCTGCGACAAAACTAATAGTCAATCGTTTTAAATTCGATTTATAGTATTGAACGCTCTGTAAAGTATATTTTAATGGTATCTGTTAATAGTTTTATTTTAAAAACGAAATGGCAACTTATATTACAAACTTTACGTCTATCAATCATATTAAATATATATTTATATATATATGTATATCAAATCATTCAACGGACAAAAACATCATCAATATTGACCATTGGCATTTACAGAACTAAACAAAAACGTTTTCCGGAGTAAAAAAAAATAAATAAAAGTTGTTAACGTCTGAAAACTTTTCACTCACCTATTTACGTCCCTTGTGTTTCCAGCGTACAGTAACTGAAACATTTGGCGTTAATTAAGACATCCATTAGTCAATACCTCTCCTACGTAGGATTAAAACTTTTTTTCTTACTATTATTATTATTTTTTTATCCACACAACGTAACTTAAAATTTATGTTTCGGGACCAGGTGTGTTTGTGTTTCATGCACAAATAACAGGCGTGCTTTTAAGCCCTCCGAGCTCTCCTTTAATGAGTACATTCCATTAAAACATGAATTCTCATCCTTTCGAACAATGACCATAGGCGACCCAACATTAAAATTTACCGTAGTTGGTGGCAGTCTAATTGCAAAATACAAACCGTAATATATGTAAACTAGACGTCGCGTATAGAGCCCATATACCTACGACCCTCCTATATACGTATCCATTAACTGGCAGTTATGGATACGATGAACAGTGTTGTCGTGAATGAGTTGTTATAACGTTTACGGTATTATTGGTAATTTACAGAATTGGTCGCTGCGAACATAACCGAAGGATTACTATCACAGTTCTACACGCAAAAAGAAACTGGATACGAACTTCGCCAAAGTGGTGATACGACGCAAACGAGAAAGGAAGTTACTACAGGTAAACCATTCAAAATAAATAATCCATGTACATATTGTACACCTTTATCTGTATTATGTATTTAATGCTATTTTATTACGTGATGTACATTTTCGGTGATTGTATACAATCAAAAAAGTCGTGTACGATTTTAGTTAAGGAGATCAAGGAAGTAGATATATTGTGGTTGGTTTCAATGAAAAAAAAATCATTTAATTAACAAAATATATATGTGTTTTTTTTTCATAATAACTATACATTTATTGAATTGTTGAATATAGGTTATAAAGGATTATAATAATTTACAATTTTACGACAAAAAAAAAACAATTATTTTTAATATTTTATGATAAAAAATGTTTTTTTAGCCTTATTGCTTTTTAAAAATGTATTTTATATTATTGATCGTTATAAGCATTGTTAAATTCAATGGATGTATATTTATTGAAGTTTGTAAGTTTTATATTGAATAGACTATAACTATTGTTGGGTACCAACGACAATCAGTCTGTTAATAATTAATATTGAGTTGGTAAACGTAAAGACTCGTACCTTAGATCAACGAAAAGTTTATTTAATTTAATGAAAAATATACATTTTATAGCAATATTTTTTTAAGGTCTGTAACTTAAAGGTGGTATTAAAAGACCGAAATAAGCTTTAAAATATGTAATTTGGTATGTTTTGACTCTTGGCTACCTTTAATTTCCTTAATTTAACCTAAAATAATAACTTACATCATGTTATTTTTTAGTTTACATATTTTTTCATGACTAGCTTCTACAGTAATGTTTTATATTATGTTAATCGTACAATTAACAAGTTCCTGTTTATTTACTACAGACTGTCATAAATTCAGAAGTTTACTACCCATAGAAACAAAAAATATCTAAGCACAATTGTCTTTAATTTATTAGTAAAGTCTGATAGTCTTGCAATTTACATTAAATCATGACATATAACATCTCTCTTACTCTATAGAGTAAGAACTATTTCATTAGTTGGATTAACTTCTCATTGCACAAAAAATAACAGTTTTAATTATCAGTTTAATAATCTTAATTCGTGTAGAACAAAGTTACTACAACGACGATCTCCGTGACCAATACCACTATTTTTAACACGAATAACAATATCGCTAACCATCTTGTCCCTTGTATCATTTTTAAAATAACTATAAAATGTCAATTTGACATTTTAAAATTAAATTATAATCATAATGTCTAATCACATGTTCACTGATTAGTAAAAATATTATATTTGAACTAGGGTAATAAAGACAGATTAAAAACAATATGTAGAGTATGTAAACAATATCAATTCAATCACACGATGCCAACAATTGTATTATTATAGTAGTACACCCATTGTGTATCATAATCATAAAATTGATTTACTTTACTCAGTAGAGTATAAATTTATTAATTATTTTAGTTTAATTTTTAATAATATTAATCATCCAAATATTGATCAACGCAAAAATTGAAAATATTTTTATAACTGATATTGAATTTATTGGCGTGAAATTGTTTTCACAAACTCGATAAAATCACGTATAAAATAATTTATTTCCCAGGATCCCAGGATTATATCTTTAAATAATTAGTATACCTCTTAAAGGTCGATGCAAGTCTCCGCTAACGTACTATTTTCGAAATATTTTTTTAATGTAAGTCTCAGAATCGCTCATTTTTTGACATGTGCCAAATGTCCTTGTGGTTCATATATTTGGTTTATTTTTTGTGTTAATCGTAGTTGTTTTTTTCGTCGCACATTCCTGATTGATGACCTCATTATTAGGTATATACATTGTTTTTATATACTCACGTTAAAATAAAAGTATAAATATGTGTTTTATAATATATATTGTAGTACTGTTTGTTTTAAATATCTTAAAATTTAAATTCTGTTAAACTTAAGTACTCAAAAATCTACTAATATTCTAAATTTTTCTGTTCCGTTTACATTTATTCGTTTTCTATTAAAATAATAGCTATTCAGTATGCATTAAATAGACTCGTAGAAAATTCATTATGATGTTATAATTTTTCATTAAGGTAGATGGTGAGTTTATCTTTTATACTGTGAACGTAGTACATATGGTCTACGGTATATGAGTTGTTGATTTTTGTTTTATAAATTCATTATTTAGCGGCTCTTAAATAAAATTGTAGCAATATTATCTCTTTATAACTAAATATACTTGGAATGTCGTTTCAAGTATAGATTGATTTTCTTTAGTGTTGTCAATATTTAAACCAAAATGTCTACATATTACGTTATTGATATTTCGAATCTATAATAATAATAAACTTTGTAAAAGCTATTATTTATAAATCATAATCATCATAAACTTTTTTTTCTCGTCTTTGAAAAAGTGTGATATTTTTTGTAAGTTCTCCACGAAATTTTAATTTTGGAAATCCTATTTTATTAGTCTTAAAGATATCATGTAAATATTTTTTTTAACGTATTTAAGACAATGTAATCAGTCACGTACTGCAAAAAAAAAAAGAAAAAGAAAAGATTTTAAGTTAAAAACTATTTCCGACATAATACCACGCGCATAGTAAAGAATTTATAAAATAAACGTTTTCAGAATAAAAAAAAAAAAAAGAAAGAACGATTGCGAGTGATTTTAAACGGAAGTTTTTTCAGAGCTTTTAGACTTTGTAGCCACGTTTCGAAGGGTTTATACATATCATTATTATTATCATAAACAGTTACCTACTGTATTTCGGGGACACTGACGACTTACGCCGTGTTCCGCGCTATATGATTGATATTATTATTATGTAACACGAAAACTCGCTCACGCGAGTCGAAAAAATAGCGACGATATAACAACCATCCGTAAATCCTTTTTCGCAGGACCAAGTCCGGGCAACAGCACGCAGACGTACGTGGGCCTGGTCACCGGGTCGCTGGCCATGACCGTGCTACTGGTGGCCGGCGTGGCCGTCGGCCTCGCGCTGAAACGCGGTCGGCAAAAGGTCGCGCTGCTCCAGTTCAAGCAGGCCACGCTCGGGGCGCCCAAACAGCAGTCCATCAACATGAAGCACCTGAAGAACGGGTCAAAAGCCGCTGTCGGGTCGTCGTCGCTGTACGGCCGGAGCGGGACCATGTTGAGCGGCGGCATCGGCATCGGCATCGGCGGCGGTCGGGTCGGCGGCGTCGGCGGACATGTCGGACACGAGTCCGAGGACAGCGACAACTCGTCCGTGTACCACGAGCCGTACAAGCGGTTGCCCTCTGGCAAGAACCACGATTACGCGCCGACCACGTTCCTGTTCAAGAAGGACGTGTCGGCGTTGACCACGAGCAAGAGCAGCGAATACACAGGTAAGTCGCCAACGCACCCCCCCCATTCACGATACCCACATGCTACTCCCGGCGCTTTCGCGGCGGCGGGTTTTCGTATCATATATTTTAATCTATACGGTACGATGCACACACGTGTGCGATTGGCTTTGCGCCGTAGAAATTATTATCGAATTACTATTTGAGTATTTTTTTTTCTAAATGTCCGCCTTAAAATACGTAATTAGACTCAGAGTTAAAATCGTGTTTTTGCTAACGTGCACCCGCTGCAGATTTAATTGAAAATCGATTGAATAAAATATTTTGTTTGTCTCCCGTCACGATATGACTGTGTATAAAAAAGCAAAATTAATACGTTTTATTTTTTGAATCAATATTTTTTTTTTTTTTTTAGCAGACACAAACGTGTATTCATTGATTTTCCACAAAAGTGTATATTTAAAAAAAAAAAAATTGTAACATATTTTTTAACGAAATGATTAAACAAAATTAAAAGTTGTCAGTCATTATGTTATACGAATCTAGGTTATTTTTTGTTAACTGTGATAAGTTAGTATTTTTCGCTTATTAACATTAATCTTGCTCAGTTAAATATAATATTTATTTTTTTTTTAACTTTAATTCAATTTATTATACTAAATATTGACTAAATTAACTTAAATTAACTAGTTCAAGCTATGTATTTAATCAACTAACCTATTGTTATTACAAATAACTGTTATATTATTATCGATTTATCTGTAATATTATAATTAATTTATGTATCGTATTTAGTTGTTTCGTAAAACTTAAGAATTTTATAATTGCGATTCAAAACCATGAAATGTCAATGCGGAAACAACAAGTTAATTAAACAGTGAATATACATTTTCTAAGGCACTGCTTAGTGAATGTTCAAAATAAAGATTTCATTGTATGGTTATATTACATTAAAAAAATATATAAATTGATTTATCACATTTATTTTTACTATAAAATATATTAAAATATGTCAATTGTTCATTTTTATATTCATATGAACTATAGAAACTAAAAATAACTTATTCATTAAGTATAAGAATCCGACTAATCAATTGTCTTTAATACACAATATAATCTTTAAATATTATATATTATGTTAAATAAGTCAGAATATGATTACATTGTATATATATATATATAAAACTACAAAGAACTAACTGTCAAAATCCTATACAAACTCTTCTGCTTTGATTGACAAATCACTAAAATCCACTAATATCTCTTCTTAGTTCCGACATTATTCTTGCCATTCTTGGTAATCTTCCTTGCACGCTAAAGAGAAAATAGTGAAGGGACTTAAAAATTATTTAAATCTTAATAAACCTATATTAAAATCAACTTTTGTTAAATCATCTTGTGAAGTGTTATTATTGAGTTGCTATTCTTTTCATTAGTACCCAAGTCATAAAGTATATCCACATATATAGTTATTAAATATTTATTAATTACAAATTGTTTATACTAAAATTAAATCAATTTATGTACATTAAACCATTTAAGACTACTTAAAATTAATTTATGTTCGCTAATGTGACAGAACCATAGAATATATAATAATTTGGAACATTCGCAACATGTTATATTTATACTTTATTATTATTTTAAAGTCGTTTTTTGACAAAAGCTATTTTGGTTTCACAGTCGTGTCAGTGACTTGAATATTTTTTTATGTTATATCAATATTATATTCGAGGAAATGGGTTTAGAACAACAGTATGCCATTTATGGGGCTATGTTTGCTTGTTAGTGTCGTTTGTGGTGTTTATAACCGGTAGTTGGTACTATATATGTATTTCTATTTAGACTTCACGAGTGTCGGCAGTTTCGGACAAGACGATGTTAAATACTCGTCGCCGTCGATGTACACACTAAACCCACCGCCGCCACCTAGCACCAGACCGCCGCCACTCTTACAACAGCAATCGGAACAGCTGAACAAATCGCTGCCGGCAAACCTGCACAATTACTATGCGGCTATCGATATAATCAAAGTATGTGTTGACATCCATAGATACCTCGAAATAGCTATCAGATGGAATTAACATTTCTTATTTTTCTACTCGCCGGTTTTTGCAGACGGAACGCAAAGAGCAGCATTTCACGCCGGGCGTGTTCACGTGCATGAAACTGCCGGAAGACAAACAGGATGAATGCAGTCAAACGTCACTGTACGAGATATCTCGAAATCGATTGCGAGTGATCGAAAAACTAGGCGAAGGCAATTTCGGAATGGTGAGCGCACTTTGCCGTACTTCCAACACCCCCTCCCCCCTTACTTAACCCCGAGAGCTCCCACACGCACACACGGTGTAGGGTAACTTCTCCAACACACCAAACGTGATTGGAATGCTTGATGATATTTAATAAACAACTGTCAATTCCATATTATATAGATCCACTTATGCGAAACGGATGGGATACCCGAGTACAATGCCACGTCGACGTTCCACAAAAGACAAGTGATCGTCAAATCGCTTCGTCGTGGCTGTGGTGAACAAAACAAGTGAGTAGAATAATAATAATAATAATAAAAAATAAATAATATTTATAAACATCACAATTTTTGCTTTATGCCCGTAGTTTTTTTTCCTCTTTATTTTCGTATACTCTAGACCTGAGCATTATTATTATAAAAATACGCGAGATTCTAAAATCGATTTTTCGTCTAAACGACATTCTTCAAAAAACGTGCCCTATTTACAATTTCTTTCGCACGTACGCCATTATCGTAATAACACAAGCAAAAAAAATGTTATTTTATTTATCATTTGCCTGTTTACCTCCAATACAAAAATGACTGACGAGACGATAACGATATTTCAATTTCGGTTAACAATATCTATTTTGTAAGTCAATGATTCGATTTAAACTAAATGTTATGTTCTCTGCTGAGATAGATAGAAAATAAATTTATAAAATACAATTATTAAAAACATTTATACGAGTCCTATATTCTATATTTTTAATAAATATATTATGTTTTGATGTGTATTTATCTTTAGACAAGACGTGATGAGAGAGACTAAATGTCTGTATACCGTTCGGGATCCAAATTTGGCACGTATTGTGGGCGTTTGCAGCCCTGATGAACCTCTATGCATAATACAGGAATATTGCGAATACGGCGACTTGCCGAGTTTCTTGAAGGTCCAAACCACAGAATCTACTGAAGCTCATCCAACAATCAAGTAAGAATATACTGTTTTTATACACTTCACACATATTCCGCCGTAGATTTTTTAACTGAAATATAAAATAATCTATGCCAATATAGATCCTGAACCATCACATTAGATGCCTGTTGGTATAATCATTTTAATTGTACTAAATTATTAGGAAAACTGAAATATAATTATTACCTTCTTATGAAGTTATGGGTATTATGATAAAGTATTTATTACAATATGATATAATTTACCTAGGTACTGTTATCAAATAATAATAATAATAATAACAATATAATTTTAAGAAAGGTTAAGTTACCTAGTGAATAAATATTACAACTTTTTAAAAAGTTAAATAAATCAACATAGACCAAGTAATTGTTGAATTTAAGTATTTAACACACAATATATCAAAAGATAACATAAAGATTTAGTATTAAATAAGAATTGTACCAAATGTTTTTTATTTTGTATGTTTATATCAACGATGTAAAAATAAGTGTAAAAAGTGAGAAATAAATTTTAAAATAAAATATTAAATGTTTTTCATATTCTATGAAAGAATAGTTTTTTGTAAGATTTTATTTTGTATTAAAAATAACAAGTGAATGTAACTAGTACGTTCCATTTCATTGTTTCAAATTAAGTCAAATTACGTATTAATTCCAATGATTTTAAACGTTCCACAAATAATATAATAAACAGCTTTTTCATACATGTACCTACAGTGTGCACACGTTATTTTAATAATTATATTACCTGTATAATATTTATCACGAATAATGAATGGTGTTAAATACTCATACTTTCAGTATTTTTTTTTATTTCAATTTTGTATTCTTGCAGTTACGGATGTTTGCTATACTTTGCCACTCAGATCGCATCGGGCATGAAACATTTAGAGGGTAAAGGGATTGTCCACAGAGACTTAGCCGCGAGAAATTGCTTGGTGGGAAAAAACTATTCACTGAAGATATCCGATCACGCGTTATATTGTACTCAATACGATTCAGATTATTACGTTAGTGACACTAAGTCGAGATTGCCGATCAGATGGATGTCGTGGGAAAGTTTACTTCTGGTAAGTCAATTATTATTATTATTATGTTTTCAATTGAAGCTCTAAAATGTAAATAAATAAAATTATCCTCATGATATTATCAAACATAGAAAAAAAATAAAATAAAAAAATAATATTTTTTACGATATTTTAGTGAATATTTAAGCATTCTTTCTATGTCAATGTATGTGTGTATAAAACGCAATTACACAATAATTGAGATAGTGATCTACTTCCCTTTCTACTCATTCATCATTTCGAACTGACTTTGCTTACTTTATAGTATTTATACGTAAGACTTTACCTCTTTTTTTACTTTGGAAATACTTTGTCCAAACAAACTTCTTAAATACACACTGACATACGTACTAACACAAATTTAAATAGCGACTGTATATTAAACATAATGTAAATCGTTCACACAAAAATGTATGCAGTACATAAAAGTATAATATTGATATTTATTTGTGTCCTTAATTATTTAGAGTATTTATTTATTAAACGTTGGGTAAGCTTAGTAATTATTTTTAAATATGTTTATTTAGAATTCGAAATGTTAAAGAGCGATTCTATGAAATACAGCTTTTAAAATGTTGCCCCTAACAACAACCTAATAGCTTATAGAAAAGTTATTACGATATGCACCATTACAAACTTCATTTTTAATTAAACTTAAATTAGATTTGGTATTTATTTTTATTTCTGTGTTGGTTTTGTAATAATATTTTAATTTCTAATAGACCTACATCTATATTCGTATAGATTACAATATATTCCGTTATCACTGTGCGTAAACATTCAAATAAATCAATAAATATTATAAGTAATTTGATGATCTTTATCCAGACTATTTCATAAATTGCATATCTATATAATTATTGATATTTATAATGAATAAAACTTTTTTAATTCTAAAAACAACTTTCATTTTTTTTTTTTTTTTTTTTAATTTTCCTTTAAAAGTATAACAGCTCAAAATAATTTCAAGTTTGTAGTTTTTAATTGTTTCATTAAATTAATCAGAATTAAATGACCAAACAATATTTATTATATGATTTTCCTTATCGTATGTACATTTCTATTGCGTTTAGATTATTGTTTATATTACTCCCAGTAAATATTATAATATTTTTCAAATAATTTTTGTAATACTCGTTTATTGTATAATATTTCCAAACGTAATCACCACCTACAAAACTAAAATAATTAATAATTATGTAGATATAATAATTTTTTTTTTTTTAATATAAACTTAAATAATATATATTTGGTACTTTAGACAGATCGTTTTTTTTTTTATGTAATGGACATAATATTTTAATTGTTATTTTTAAATTTATAATATTGTGTACATGCACGTTTCACACTTGAAGTTTCTAACTCAGAGTACATGGTTTATGTATAATAGAAATTTGTAACTTTCTCGCTATAAGGGTAACAATAAGCGTCCATATGAATTTTTTGCAGTGTACCTACGCATGATTACAGAGAAATAATTTATAGCTATTAATAATTATTATCATTAATTTCTACCATTTTTGTCACTAATTATAACTTAAAATTTGCAGTGTAATAAAAACATTTTTCAACTTTTTCTTTTAAATTAATTACAACATTTTTATTTTTTATTTTTTTTTATGCAAAGTTGTCATTATTTTTGGGATTCAAATGTAGGTATAAAAATATGAAAAATATGGACTGAAACTATGTAATTTTTTTTTTAGCTCAATTCACAGTTAAAAAAAAAATAAAAATATGATTGAATAATTATATTTGATATTTTAACAATAACTATACATTTTCATTAAAATATAATAAATGGGTAAATATTGAAAATATTTAGATATTGACCATATCAATAGAAAATGCAGATTAATTAAGTAGAATTTTCGTAACTCATAATACACAAAATAAAATTAATAACAATTGTACATCGCACAATCTACACTAAAAGGTAATAAATACATTTTTTAACAACAAAACACCAAAAAATTACTCTCCAGCCGCGATATTTTAATCACGACTGGGAATGAGTCGAACTTCATTTTTCTCGAACACTAATTTTCGATTTGTTTAAAATCGAAAACAAAACCAAACACGTTGCTTACTTGAAAATTTTGAACTTTCAAACTTTAAATTTAGTTTACGAAACGATACGGGAAATTCGGTAAATAAAAATAGTGTTCTAGAGTTCTGTTTTTCATAATTTATAAAAGTATGTACATCGAACTCAATTTTTCTCGAACCGTTCGATTTCAAGTATTAGTTTCCGGATTCGAAATTTAAATCGCATAAAGTTCAGAACGTTCGATATGTTCGAAAACCAGTCTCCAAACGCAATTAGTAATCGCGGCGGCGAGTTACTCCGTATTGAATTATTGTAACAACGATACCGTCTGGTTTATGTGCTCGCAGGGCAAGTACACGTCGAAAAGCGACGTTTGGTCATTCGCAGTCACCCTGTGGGAGATACTCATGTTCTGCAGCCACCAACCGCTGGCAGAGCTGACCAACGAACAGGTGGTGGAGAACGCCAACCACATGTACCTGGCCAACGGCAAGCACAGGTACGCGGAACCGCCGCCCAGCTGCCCGCGCGAAATGTATGAGATCATGGCCGAGTGCTGGAAGCGCGGCGACTCGGATCGGCCGAAGTTCTCGGAAATACATCTGTTCCTGCAACGCAAGAACCTCGGTTACATACCGGTGATATGATCCAACTCGCACCCGACCAACACTTCCGCGACTACCAGCACCGCTACGCACCTGCCACGACAACCCCTACTCGACTAGCGCACTTTGCAACGTCCCGAATAACGATGACTAAACGGTATCGTGTTGCGCCAGTTTCTTAATTCCCAGGTAGGTACGCACCTTCCGGGTGCTCGTCTATATCCTTCCTCTCTCTGACACGTGCGAATTGTGTACCCCGCGACATCCCTGTACCTCTGCAGGGATGATTTCACGGAACACCATGTCCAATACCCTTCCATCGCCCATCCGCATCTATGTCATACATCACTATTATAATACGGTTCCTTGTTTTTTTCGATCGCTGTCCGTAAAGAATGTTGTTCATTAAACACATGAGGACACCCACCGGATTTATTTTCTCGACGCCGTAATGATGATTGATTAATGATGATGATCATTATTATCATTATTATCATTAGTAGTAGTAGTAGTAGTATCAACGGTAGTATTATTATTTTTGTTTTTAGGATTTGTAAGACTGCATACCTATCGTAATAATCAAATATTTTTACCCGTGATGCCCATATAACATATTCATGTTCTATCAAAAATTCAAAACAGACAAAATCCATGGATAGAAAAAATCTAAACCAAAATATTTAGTTATACATCCTTCTCATCCGAGTTTTTATTTGCTCATCACAAATAAATACTCAAAATCATTACGATATAAACTAAAATAATATTACTATTTTGTCATGTTGTCAGTGGAAAAATTCTAGTTTTTTTTTTCTTGTCACAGAATATCAAATCATTTTTTTTTGTTAAATTTTTCGTACCAGATTTTGTAGTTTGAATATTTTTGTCCATGGATACTTTTTGTTGTGCATCGTTCAACTTAGAATTCTTAAATTATATGAAAATATGTTTTTTCGAAAGCTGGACATTATTGTAATATAATACAATACTATACATAAAAGAAGTATTTGGTACATGCTTGTGTTGTATAGGATGTTTATTGTTCAAACTCAACGCCAAGATATTTAAAATTTATCGTTGTATGCATCTCGACTTCTAAACTCAGTTTAACGTCATTTCCAGAGTTATAAAAGTTTATTATACATAATATTATATTATAGTATATGTATACTTTAGTTACCGCCTTTTTGAACAACAACTGTACGCGTAATATTTCGCGTGTTCGATTTCTCGTTTGAACATAAAATGTTACACTCTCCACCTATGACCCCACCCACTTTTTTACACCGGCGGTTGGACGATATTTTAATTACTAATGACTTAAAAATATTCATTGTTTTAATTGCTAATGATAACCAAATGTAATCAATCTATTTTACACGCAATGTCTTCCACGATTCAATCCGTTTAATAATGAAACGTTGAAAATTTGCACCTCAAATTATTCTGTTTCGACCCAAAATACGTGTTAGAAAATGGTTATTACATATTATAGTTTTTATTTTATTTTCCTGTAATTAAATTTCTTTAAGTTATAATTCTGTATATACAATTTTCGAATTTTATTTCATGTACATAATACTATATCTATTGTTGTTCGAGATTCAGCGTTAGACTCTAATTTGGAAACTTAACAATCTTATTAAATTAATATACGCTCTTACTTTTCACAAACAACGCATGTATGTGTATAATTATTAAATTTAATAAATTATTTTTATTTAGGCCAGGACAAAATAATTTTTATATAAAACTATTTATATTTATTGACTTGTATAAAACTCAAATGGATATGTAGTTAAAATTATTTGTTATCTCAAAAAACTATCCACGTTATTTCTATTACTTATTACTAAAATATAACATATTATTATGTTTCTTTTAACGGTAGTAAATGTAATGCTACATTACATTAACTCACTCCAACGTCTTTCCAAGTAGTTGAAACGAATATGACCTATACGTCAAGTGTCATATTCTGTTCTAAAATTAATATTTAAGGGATTTAATGTTTTTTTCTTCATTTTTTTTTTTTTTTTATTTATTTATTTATTACTAGCTGCGATGTGTGATTATCAATCGAATCATCATATTATAATCGCGTTGATCTAAATTTATATTGTAAATACATTTTCTCGTTTTCTTCAACTATACCTTTTGAATAATTTTTTGTATTTTGTATTTAATTAATATTATTATATATTGGTTGATATAATGCAAAAAAAACTATGATTTCAATGTATTAAGCTCAAAAGTGGATTAGCTGAGCTCGTGTAAAATGCAATAAATCGTATTTATATTAAATATAAAATAATTTAATGTGCAATTTAAAATAAAATGGTGCCAATATCTGTTCTTATTATAGCTAAACAATCGTTCGAGTATGTATCCATAATATATTTATTTGAAAAGCAATTATAGTATTTCCGTTTTTATTTTTTAAAAAGGTGTGTGATATATATATATATATATATATATATTATTATATTTTTTAAATTTGCATATCATATAATATATATGTATATATATATATATATATATATATATATAGTTTAGTACGTGTTTTTCTCCAAACTTTCCAAAATAGCATAAATTTCTCAGTATTAAGCCCCTAATTATGATTTACGATAGAATTTAATTTAAGCCGCGGTCACATGACAGCGAAATTGATAAAATGGCACTTTTCAAAGGGTGGCATGAAATGGTGTGTAAATAATAATACTATTACATGGAGGGTATAATCAATTGCCCACGTTGCTAAGAGACAATCAATCTCTAACACTTTTTGGTCTATAAAATTTTGTAAAAAAAAAATTATACATATTTATTATATTTATATATATATATATATATATATTAATAATAACGAATTTCCCGCACACATTTAAAATGTATTATACCTATCGTTGAAGGAACACAAAATATTTTCCTTTTATTTCAGTTGTGACCCAATCTAATAATTAAGTAAAGCTATTTGTTTCCTATATACAATATAAACTTGCAATAAGTAATTTAATACTTATAAGACATAATATTATTGATATGCATTAGGCATTTTGTAATAACAAATAAAACATAGTCTTTAATAAATATATATATAAATAATAAATATAATATTTAAGTATAATATACATTATATTATAATATAAACTTGAAATTCATATGTATTTGTATAATGTATTTTCATTGACTATATTGTTGTTTAATTATCTTTAGAAATAATAAATCAGTATTATTAACGTTTATCTGTCTCTGAAAAATGAAAAAAAAAAATGTTATTTAATAAATATGTATGTATACCTTTATGTGTAAGAGTTTTTTATTACACTAACCTATTTTCCCTATAATCGCCACACAATAACATGGATGAACAACGATCAGTCATCCTTCGTCAAAACATAACACAATGACTTATTTGAGTACACCAATATGTTATCGTATCTAAACTAGATAAACGGTAAGTACGTGTTATATTTTTGAAAAATAAACATTATTTTATATTATGGTTTTAACATATAGTAGTTACTATGCTGTTCCCTGTACTTTTAAAACAAATATTTTTTCTCTACGTAAAACATTAGATCTTATTTTTATTTTATATAAATATTTGAATGAAATCATACAAAAAATCAAAAAAGAACTTATTATTGAAAAATAATAATGGGTATAATATATTATATTCTTAGAATATTATTTTACAATTTTTTATCTTTTTACATCATTGATAATTTATCATTAGAATGCTAAATATTATGAATGTTTGCGTTTTGAAAGCTTAGAGATAGTATATCCTTCTTTGTGAATTACAAGACAGTAAATAGGTGTATTAATAAAACAAAACTAATAATAACCACACCATATATTTAAACATACATTGAACGCATACAATACAACATTCTTAAGGTTAAGACTTCGATCGTTATAATTTATATAAATCAGATGATACTTTGCAATTTACTTCAGTATTTTACTAATAGTATAGTTTTTAATTAATATAGTACATCATGTTAATATGATTATGGTATTGCTATCTAAAAAAAATTATATTGCTTAAAATGTCTTACCTGTGTAGTATTAAATGATTATATTTTATTTATTTTTATCCAACCATAAAACGTAAGGTATTAATACTTAGGTTAAGTTAGGTATTACAGTTCTCCAAACTAAAAATTCCAACAAATAATATTAGATAATCAAAATTAAATTAAATTAAGTATTATGTTTTATTTATCTGAATCATTTATCAAATGGTTTTTATGGTTTGTTGATAAAAAAAATTATGTGATTGAAGTGATATAAATTAAAATATCATTTTTTTTTTGTTGACGCCTTGACGGTAAGTCGAATACCTATGAATAATAGTTGATAAATTATATTTTTTAAATGTGTCAGTTATCACCAAACATCACGTTTAATCATTAATAATCTCGAATATTTATAATTAAGCTATTCAGAGCTCTGATAACTATTTAATATAATTATAATCACAATAATTTTATATATTATTGTTATTATTATTTTTTTTTTTTTTCATAAAAAAACCCGTAGAAAATAGAATCGGAAATCTATTAAATATGGCAAAACAATTTGTAATTATTTTCTGATTAATCGCCCAACTTACTCTTCTATTATATCATACATTTACTATAATTATTATCTATCATAATAATATTATCGAACAATAATGCAATTGTGCTTCACCCAATCGGATTAATTTTAGACAATCCACGCAATTTGGATTATTTTCACACGATTACTTTCACACAATCGACTGTATCATTCATTTCGGAAACAAAATAATATTTATTACAAACTCTTTATTAATTAAATTTGATATATTTTTCTGAATTTACTGTAGCAGGAATTTCAGAGGGATATACAATAATAATATACTATACTGAAATGATATTTCATGTTTAATATCTGTACTTTTGTACTTTTTACTAGAAATAAATGACCGTGATAATATGCAACCATAGAAATATTATTAAGTATTTGTACAAAAGCCTTTTCATAAAATGCGAAGACAGATTCATTTATGCTCATAATTCCATCAAGTTTTTCATAAACTACCATCATATTAATAATACTATTCATATATCGATGAATATATTGGTTTTATAATAATGTTTGTCTATTTATTCTTTATTTTTGTACAATGAATTGTATATTTTAAACATCTGATTAATCCTTTAGAGAGGTTTAGAAGTAAAAAATACATTTTTTTCTTAATTAAATAACTTGAATTTTAATAATTGTAATACACAGATCCCATAATATTAATTTACCACTGAAATTAAAAAAAAAATCTTTAAGCGATTTTTATTATTTTTTTTATTATTCAAAAATATAATTACCATATAAACTTTAAACATTTGTCAATTATTAAAATATCTTTATCAATGCATAATAAAATTTTCAAAATATTTAAATATATTTTTTTAAGCTTTTTATAAGCATTTTTAATGTTAAAAAGTTTTCATTTTTTTTTTTTTATAATATCTAAATATTGATGAACCGTATAAGTACTATACTTGTAGAAATTTAAAAATACTCGTATGAAAATTTCACAAGTAACCAATTTAAGAAACTTATGACGTTCAAAATTTGACAATATATAATGTAAATTTGAATGACTATTTTTTGGTTATTTAATATGAAGATCCTTATAAATTTTCTCAAAGAAATTTAAAAATATCAAAACAGATTTGCAAATTGTTTTCCAGATATTTCAAGATCAAATTATTACTTAATTATAAAAATTTTTGTTATTCTGTATAAATTTAATAAATACTCATAGAGATTTGAAAGTTTTATTACGACGTATATTATTATTTTCTATGCATAATATATTGTCAAAAATACTTTGATTAATAAAATTGTCAGTTTATCATAGTGATTTACTCAATGAATATCAATTTTCTTATTTTTTTTCAACATGAAAAAATTATATTTCTTGAAATAAATAATAAGACATTACGATGATTATTTAGTTTCGTCAGTTTTTCATACACAAATATTTATTTTCAAGCAAATTCAACAATATTTTGTTTTATCTTTAAATCCGTAGCTCTAGATGAAGGACGAGGGTTGCAAACGGTAAGTAAAACACATGAAGGATGAATTTAATTAAAATAATGTATGTGAATTCGTTTAAACTGTTGAGTGAATTTGTGGTTATTGTTTTTATTACCAAGAACTCGAATTTTAGAATATAATAAACAAATATATTTTAGCACTTTGGTTTATTACTATACGTATACGTATAATGCATGAGTGTTATATATGCATAGTACGGTTTAAATTAAAAATTCTTACTGGAACATTTTACAATTTAAGACATTTTTATTTTATAAACATTCATGTTTATAATTTTAAAATATGTTTAATAGATGCTTGCTTAATGAAATTTATACTCTATTTGTTAAAAACATAAACTGTTATGAAATATGTGTATTATACATAAGCAAGCTTTCCAAATATTTCAACCACGAAAGATGCACTCACGAGTTATGACACTATTTGTGGTAATTAGTGTGTAATCACATTATATTTAATTGGATACATACATTATATATACAATGTAATAATAAATTGTAATATATTTGACTCAAATAATAATTATTAGTTTATTTTGAATCTAAAATAATACTAAAATGATTAACAGAACTCTGAAAAGTAATTCGCTATCAAAAGCTTCAATTGAAACTAGAAAACATCACTCTTCAACCGTTCTATCTTCGATGAGCTTTTGATAAGATAAGATTTCCGCTAAAAACTCTTTGCTGCTTGTTATTTTCAATTAGCCTGATTTTTGTATGTCTCCTATACTATTACTTAAAAGTTGAAAAAAAATAAAATGTTACCACTGAATTTACAAGAACATTCCTGTTTAATATCTTATTAATTAAATTAAAACGATTACTATTTTACCTTATATAACTTTTTCTTTTATCCTTCTGGTGTAAGACTTAATTTAAAAGATAAAAGTTTTTAATTTGTTATTCGATAAGAGTTAACGTTGTTTAACTAAATAAATATAGAATGTATATTTTTATTTTTATTTTTTATAAAAGAAAAATAATTAAATTTATAATAATTAATAAATTTATCATTATAAGTTTTAAAATTGTGTTTTAATAATGTACTCATAA